ACGGGGACAAAAAAAAAAACCCTCTTCAAAAAAAAAAAAAAAAAAAAAAAAAAAAAAAAAAAAAAAACCAAACAAACAGAAAAAACCCCATACACTGGAGGACATGAAAGAAACTTAAACAATGTAAAGTTACACAACAAGGACTGCTTAGCTGTTACACTGGGTCCTCACAACCCTTCACTGACACAGAGGAGCTTCCTGATTTGGCAGCAACTGGGAAGGCTGAAGCCTGCACATGTGATAGGGTGGGGGTGGGATACTTGGGGCTGCAGAAGCCCAAGCAGCACTGCTGGCTATGGGAAGCCCAGCCTAGCCTAGGGTTCTCCATTCTTAAGAGAGTTGATACCACATAGCTCCCCTGCTACTGTCAGAATAAAATGACCATGCTGCATGTCCCCAGGTGGCCAGTCTCACCAACTCCACAGAGAACTTCAGAGGAAGCTTTCCTGTTACCTAAATCCCCTTAGCTGGTTTCCTTTGATTGCTTTAACCAATACCCACTTTCTGCTTTACAAATGGTGTTTTCTCACTGTGTTCTAAGGTGAGAGAACTCTGTGTTTCTTTAGAAGGGCACTAATCCCATTATGAGGGATCCCCCCCTCTCATGACCTAATAACTTCCCAAAGGCCCACAAATCAGGTGGGTAAAACACAGGTGTTCTTTTCACACAGTTCTAGAAGTCAGACATCTGAGCACAAGGTTCTTTCTGGCAATATTCAAAGGCCCTGGGGGAGAATCCTTTCTTGCCTTGGCCAGGCCTCTCTGTCTGGAGCTGTACAACTACACGCTCTGGGTCTTCACACAACCTTTTCCTCTGATGCCCAGGGCCTTGTCCTTGATTCTGCCTCTTGTAAGGGCAGTTACACTGAAACTGCAGACCATCCTGTAAAGTCTAACTAAAGTCAGGTTAGACCCAGCTAGTGATTCTGAATCATCTATGCAAAGACCCACTTTCATAGAAGGACTCATTTACAGCTTCTAGAGGTTAAGATGTGACCAAGCTATGGCTCCGTCTATGGAGTCACCATTCATATAGCCCCAACCCATGATCTGTAAAGTGGCCAAGTTCCCTTAGGGCTTTAAACATTCAAAACTGAAACTTCATTGTTTAGCATCTATAATAGCATTCTGTTACTATATCAAAATACCCAGGACAATTAACTTACAAAGAGAAAAGGGCTATTTATTTTGTCTAACAAGTTCTGGAAGTTTGATGCAGTATCATATGGCCCTGTGATTTCCAGCTTTCGTGGTAGGAGTTTGTGGTAGAACAGAATACTTAGATCACAAATCCTGAGGCAGAGAGAAAGAGAGCCAGGTTGCACAGTGCCTCTAATAGCATGCCCTCAATAACCTAAGGACCTTCCAAAAGGCCCTGGCTCATAAAGGATCACAGCACTTCCAACACTCTGTACCTCCTTATACAAGGACCTCTGATCCATCTTACAACAGCCAACTTCCTATAGGAAACTAAAAGGAATTAGATGCAAGACTCAAGCAGCAGTGATACTGTTACGGAGAAGTGATACTGTTTTAGTTTACTCAGCCTACTAGAATGAAACATTAGCAATTCATTTCTCACAGTTCTGGAGGCTGGGAAGTCCAAGCCAATGGTGCTAGTAGATTCAGCGTCTGGTGAGGGTCCACTTTCTGCTTTATAAATGGTGCTTTCTCACTGTGTTCTAGGTGAGAGAACTCTTTGTGTTTCTTTAGAAGGGCACTAATCCCATTATGAGGGATCCCCTCTCATGACCTAATAACCTCCCAAAGGCCCTACCTCCTAATAACCATCACCTTAGGGGTTAGAATTGCAACATACTAACTTGGAAGGTACACAAACATTTAGACTATAAATGCTGTACACCATACACCAAATGCTACTTCAACAGATCCAAGTTCAACTAATTGACTAGGTGTCAACTTTGGTTGTCAACTTGACACACCCAGGAAGAAGGAACTTCAATTGGGGGAATTTCCTCTTAGGGATGGCCTATGGCCATATCTGTGAGGCATTTTCTTGGAGTGCTGAGTGATGTGTGAGGGCCCAGCCTACTATGGGTGGGGCCATGCCTGGGCAGGTCCTGGGTTGTATAAGAAAGCAGTGGTCATGAAGCACGTCAGTAAGCAGTGTTCTTCCGTGGTCTAAGCTTCAGTTCCTGCCTAAAGGTTCCTGCCCTGAGTTTCTGCCTTGGCTTCTCTTGATGAGGGCCTGCAACCTGTAAGCCAAATAGATCCTTTCCTCCCTAAGTTGCTTTTGCTCATGGTGTTTATCACAGCAACAGAGAAACCAAACTACGGGGTGGGGGATGACAGTGGACAGTCATTCACACAGTATTTCTTATAGAAACTAGGATAGTACCTTATACATAGTAAAAACCATTTGAAAAACTAAAATGTGACAACAAGCAATGCAACCAACAGAGGCAAGCCTTGAGATCCTGCTGCTGTGGGGACCACCTCCCACTGCAATGACTCAGAAGTGTGGATTCGCCCACCTTCAATATAGAGGGGCTCCACCACATCATGGTTAATCAGCTCGAAGTTCTCATGGCCGATCCAGTGCTCCACATTTCTCTTCCTGCCAGTGAAGAAGTTGTCCACCACTGTAACCTCATGGCCATCCATCATGAGTTTGTCAGTCAGATGGGAGCCCACGAACCCTGCACCTCCGGTGATCTGTATTGAGACACACCCAGAAAAAGCCCAGAGAATACAGTGATGATGAATAACATAGAGACACATCTTTGGCACATCCACAACTTAAAATTTAGAAGTGGGTGAGAGAGAAATTTTTAACGTAGTATCTTTACACAGTCATTCCAGAGAAAAGACGACTCACTACCTGAATATTTCTGAATGGTCTACAACTATTGAGATGATAACACTTGGTGAATAACACAGAAAAGCTGTAGTTAACTGGATTCAAAGTATCTTCATTGACAGAGTTTTACATTATTAAAGCTTGTTTTATAACAGAGGAGATACTGACCATCCCGAACAGCTGTCCCTCCATACCTTCAAGGTCTAAATCCATTGATTCAGTAGACGATGAACTGAAAACACAGTGTGGCTGATGACAGCTGTGTACAAAATGGGTGCACACAGACTTTTTGTTGGCATTATTCCCTAAACAATACACTACAATGGGCATTTACACAGAATTTACATTGTAGTGCATATGATAGTCTGAGGGACAATGGTATATGGTCCTAAAACCACTACTGCTCATGTTTGGGATCATTTTCACTAAAGTAATCAGCAAAGAGTAGAGACTTGGTTAGCTGCCAGAAAAGGATGTGATATTTAAACTAGACTCAAGAAATGTCATGAAAAACTAGTATCTTCCAAATTATTTCTAAGAACAAGTAAGTCATAGACGCTCTTTGCAGAGGAAAGCCCTAAAAGAAGCTCAGCTGTCCAGTTATGTCTGAGTGGGAATGCAAGCACTATGGGGGCACTATCCAGCCAAAAGCCAATGGGCTCTGCAGGGGCAGGACAGGAGGCCAGCAGCAGCAGCACGCTTCCTAAAATCCTACACCACCACAGGTGTGCAGCGTTGATTATGTCTGAAACTGTCCTAAAAACAAAATGTTTACTCCAATTAAATGGTGACAAAAGAGGGCGTTGCTGAGCACAATATGGCTTCCTTCTGAGCAGAGTACAGGAGTCAGAAATGCAAAGAGCCAGCTGGGAGACAGGCTCATAATGAAGGCCACATTTCCTGTCCTGGTCTTATTCCACTATGATAATCTCCCTACAATCTGTAGGCCGAGGCAGGATGGTCAAGAGTTCAAGGCCAGCCTGGGCAACCCAGTAGAGTTCTGTGAAGTAAAGAAAGAAAACAAGAAGGAAAAAGAGAGGGGCACAGAGAGGGAGGCAGGGAGAGAGAGCGGGAGGGAAGGAAGAGGAAAACAAACTAAAAAAGAAACCAGTTCCTTCCAGTTGCCTCTTTCACCATGACAGAGCAGGCAGGGATTAAACACCCGTTCTCTAAATTGAAAAGCACGTGAATGCCTGGTCTGTGGTTTTAAAACATCTCATTCCCCACGAGCCTCTGCTTCCACTAACACCTCACTGGTCATGCGACACTTGCCACAGGTGGGAGGGCAGAGACACTTGGGAAGGCAGATGCCCAAAACCGCTCAGCAACCACCAACTGCTCTGAAAATGCAGTGGCTGGGAGCTGAGTGCCAACACCAGCCTCAGTCAGTCTGAGCACAGGGCTTCCTAAGCTCCCTGTGCTTCAGAGGCAAGAAAATGACAGCAGAGAAGGGGTCTCCGCCCATAGCGCACATAGCTCACTAGCCATGCAGAAGCCCCCATGCTCCCTGGTGGCAGGCTCTCCATCACATCAGTGCATCTAGTTTGTTTTATCTTTAGCACTCCTGCTATTCTTTGGATCCCACCTTTGGGAGGGATTAATACAGCTGTCAGGGGATCCCAGGTCATAATAGAGAAGCAAGGCTGGCCTCTTCTCCCCATGTGACCTCCTGCCCCTCTTCCCTGATGTTCTGTACTGGGAGGCCCTCAACAGCATCAAACAATGGGGCAGCGTCTCAGACAGGAGCTAAATATACCCTTTTTTCTTTCTAAAGTGTCCACACCTTGAGGTATTTTGTTATAGCAATATACCTATATTCTACCTATATGAATGCAGTGACTATTAAAATTTTTCTGGAAAAATATGAGTTTCAAATGTGACACACTCTAGTGCTTAGCTTAGGGGATGAGATTTCATTTCATTTCAGCTCTTTTCTTTCTCATGGCAGTGGGGACTGAAGTGCTCTACCACTGACCTATGTCCACATCCCCAGCCATTTCTGTTTGCTAGTTTCCTTTTTCTTTTTTGAGACAATGCCTTGCTAAGTTGTTTGAACTCACTCTGTAGCCCAGGTAGGACTTGAACTTGGCATCTTGCAGTCCCAGCCTGCTGAAAAGGTTAGGACTACAGGACTGAGGCATAGCCAGACCCAGCAAATTTCAGTTGATGTAAGCTTCACCCTGTTACATTTTCCTGATTTTCACGATTTTTAAATCAGAAATATAATGAATTAAAAAGAAATCTTACTGTTTTTACATAACTCCTTATATGATTTTGAAAATATTTCTGAAAGATCTATGGAACTCTATTATTATCTCTGCATCCAAATATGTGGCTGACAGTCCAGAGAGCAGAAAATCAGCATATTAAAGTTCACATGAGCTATTCTAACATTTCAGTAGTCCTGGTAGTGGAATAAACTTCCTGGAAGCGCTTTACAAAGCCCTGGCTGAACTGTACGAGAGCCTTTGCTTTTCTTCAGTCATTCCTCTCTAGTGAAAATGCTTAAACGTTGTGTAAGAGTGAAATAGCTATGAATTTTTTTCTTAATAAATTTTATTTAATTAGGCAACTGTTTCAGATGGAAACAGAACCTGCAGCTCAGCCCTGCATTGCTTCCCCAGGACTAGTCGGCAAAGCCACGCACAGCCTGGATAACAAGGAGCCAATACCACAAGGATGGCCGGTCTTCCTCCCCTGAGGTAGACTGGAACTTCCCGCCTGGCTGTGAACTCACCAGCTCACCTTAATGTGCTCGTGGTTCTTGTGGGAGTTAACAAGCAGCTCAATGTCTTGTTCAAGGTCAGCACTCTAACTCATGCTGCCCAGCAAATTGGCAAAAAGAATATATTTCCAGACAAATTTCTCCACTGTCCTACTAAGGCTTCAACAATTATTCAAAACGCTTTAAGTTTTAGCTACAACATGCCAGACGCAGGCACCAAACAACTCTGAAACGTGCAATACGCTTAACTCATGAGATGGAGATAATGAAAACTACTAAGTCCATTTGTTTCAGCAATGTGCAAAGAGAAATAAAGCCTGAGGCACTTGGCATGGGCCGAAGGTCATCCCACAGAAATAACAGAAACCAGGGGCTGGAGAGATAGCTCAGCGGTTAAGAGCACTGACTGCTCTTGCAGAGGACCCGGGTTTGATTCCCAGCACCCACATGGCGGCTATGAACCGTCCTTAACTCCAGTTCCAGGGGAATCCGAAGCCTTCTTCTGACCTCCGTGGCATTGCATGACATGGGTGCACTCACATACATGCAGGTAATACACTCATACACAAAATAAAAATAACAAAATATTTAAAAAAAAAAACGAAAGAAAAGTAACAGAAATCCTGGCGAGATGCTGCAGTGCTCATCCCAGTGCTCCTGTGGTCTGTGGCAGCCGAAGTCCCTGTGTTAGAAATTGATTACACAATGCAACAGTGATGGGAGGCGGAGCTAAGGCCATTAAGGATTCACCCTCAAGAGCCAAGAGCCAATGAGGGCCACTCTAGTGGGAGTGGGCTCCTTAAAAGAAGAACTCAGCACATCTTCCCTTGCCCTCCAATTGCCCCTGGCAATTGTATGATGTGCTAAGGACCTGGCAGATGAAGCACCTGGACCTTAGGCTTCCCAGTCTCCAGAACCATGAGCCAGTGCATTTCTGATCATTAGAAATTACCCATTTGGTGGCATTCTGTTATAGCAGTACAGACAACTGCACACCTTCATGGCAACAGACAGACTAGAAGGATGACACTTACTTTGGTACTCTTGCTAACTCATGCTGCCCAGCAAATCGGCAAAAATAATATATTTCCAGAGAAATTTTAAACTATTTTTAAAAATACTGAAAGAAATGAAAGAAGACAGACATAGAACCACAGAAAGACATCCCATGATCCCACATTCAAGGATCGCAGTGCCTGATATTGTTAGGATGGCAAACTGTCCAAAGCAAGCTATAGATCCAACAGTTTTTACTAGAATCACAGATGGTTTCTTTGCAAAACGTGACAAGCTAATCCTAAAATTTTTAACGGAATTACAAGGAATCCAGGATAGCCAAAACCATCTTGGAAATTTTTTTTTTAAATCTTAAAAAAAAAAAAAAGAACAAAGTGGTATGACTCATACCATCCGACTTCAAAACCCACTTCGAAGCCACAGCAATCATGACCATTGTGTAAATCAGTTTACATTGCAGTTCAGAAATAAATACATTTAGCGTCAAATGATTTTCATCTTTCAACAAGGGTACCAGGAAAATTCAATGGGCTGTTAAGAATCTTTTCAGCAAGTTGCACTGTACAACTGGGCAGCTAAATGAAAGAACAAAGGACCTGCACCCAGTACTGTATTTGGAAATTAACGCAAACCACAGCACGGACGTAAATTTAAGAACTAAATCTAGAAAACTTCTAGGAAAAGACATGGGAAATCTCTGTGACTTTAGATTAGGTAATGATCTCTGAAATATAACACCAAAGTACAAGCCACAAAGTAAACAATAAGTAAAAACAGACTTCATCGATATTAACTTTTGTGCTTCAAACACCGTCAGCAAGAAGGTGAAGACAACTCACAAAATAGGAGGAAAATCTGTGGAAAAAAACTAATACAAAGAACTGTATCGTAATCCAGTGATAAGAGGAAAGTCATCTTAAAAATGGGGTAAGTGGGCTGGAGAGATGGCTCAATAGTTAAGAGCACTGGTTGCTCTGCAGAGGACCTGGGTTCGATTCTCAGCACCTACATCGTGGCTAACAACCTTCAGTAACTCCAGTTCCAAGGGAAGCCAACACCTTCTTCTGACTTCTATGGGCATTGCACACCACAGGTGTGCTTACACACATGCAGGCAATACATGCATACACATAAAATAAAAATAATAAATCAAATAGCCCTGTGTCCATCAATACAAAGATGGCCAATGAGCACACAGAGTCTTTGAGCCTCATAAATGAGATCTGGGAACACTGCGCTAAGTATTCACAGCTCTGCAGGTTAGGCCCAGCACCACTGTAGGATGGCTCCAACCAGCAATTCTACACAGAGAGATCCCTGGCTGCCTAGGGCTTCTGGGATGGAGGGCTTGGGAGAAAATGAGGACCATGGGTGGAAGGCTTTCCATTTAGGGTTATAAATTGGATTTGGTGATGGCTGTACTATGTTGGGATTAGTATAGAAACACATGAACTATACTATAAAGTGAATTACAATAGAATATAAATGATTCCTCATTAAGGATGCCATCTTTTAAAATATAATAGTACAATTTCTGGGTAGTTCCCTATAAATTAACAAAACATGGCTTTTTTAATTGGTGAGTTTGGATTATGTTTAACAAGGAGACTATTAGCCAAGGAAGCCCCCAGGATATCCACTGAAGTGGTCCATGAAGCAGAAGAGGTTAAAGACCACAGCTGAGGAGCTCAAAGCTTTCTTGAAATGCTACACATAGGGTTACCATATGGATGTGCTTTTCTTATCCTGTGACCCTGAACTCCCAGGTTACCTCTAGTAGTTCAATTTGGGGATTCCTTTGGGCTTCATAAGTACAAGCTCATGTCATCTGTGACTACAGACAGTTTAATGTTGGCCTTTTCGATATGGATTCCTTTTACCCCCAGTTACAGATGAAAGAACTGAAGCCATTATGTCTACACAAAAACTCATACAAATATATGAATAACAATATCATCACAATAGCCTCAAAGTAGAAACAACTCCAAATGTCCATTAACTGAGAAATGAATAAACAAAATATAGCATATATATAATGGAATATTATTCAATTATGAAAAGGAATGAAGCAGAATAACATTGGAAACATTATTCTTAGTGAAAGAAACCAGACACAAAGCCATCATGTTGCATTATTTAATTTATGTGCAACATTCAAAAGGGGGAAATCCATGGAGAGTAGTTTCAGTGGATGCTGGGAGCTAGAGGAGTAAGGGAAAGTGACTATTAATGGGCTCAAGATTTCTTCTTAGTATGTGATGCTAAACAATGCAAACATATTGTAAAACACCAAACTGGATCCATGAGGAGGTTGAATGCGATGGTATATAAAGTATCTCCTAACACAGAAAAGCAAATGTCTTAATACTACAAACATGAATCTGATGTGCAAACTTACCAAAATTCTTTTACGGTCCTTTTCTGATAAAAACTTGACCGGTGGGTATTTCTGGGTGAAGCTGTATAACAGAAAGAGATTAAAAAGGTCAGTCCAATGCATTTACCCAGGTCATCCTTCCCAGGCTCTGCCCAGGCGCTTAGGACACACAGGCTCCACCTCATGACAGAGAGTCATTTTCCACAGTGTTGGAGATGAAACTGGATGGCCAGCCTATGCCTGAAATTCCTAAGTTCTGTGGACAATGACTTGAGTTGATAAATCATGCAGGAAACAACCCTGCATCACTCATTCTGGGTGTACAATACTCATTAGTCCTATGTGTTTAAGAAGAAACAGCTTTAATCCCCTTTGCTGTGTTAATAAAGGAATGCCTTGTTTAAAAATAAATGCTTTCTTGGGGTTGGGGATTTAGCTCAGTGGTAGAGCGCTTGCCTAACAAGCGCAAGGCCCTGGGTTTGGTCCTCAGCTCTGAAAAAAAAAAAATGCTTTCTTTTTAAAGTCAAACATCTCAGGTGAGTATTTTTTCCATCTGTCATCAGAGCATGGCTGCCCCTTCTTTTCTCCTGCTCTGGAGGAACGGAAGAGTCACTGGTTAGTTCCAGTTCAAGAAATGCTCACTTGTCCCTGGTCTGGACTAAGGATCCAGCTAGAGATTCTGAGGCTGAGGTGAAGATGAAGAGGCCACATGCCAGCAGCAGCCAACGGCAGGACACTTCCTCTGCTAGGCCAGAACCCATGTGTGGTTCTACACACATGATCCCAGCCTCAAGAGGCAGAGGCAGGAGGATCAAGAGTTCCAGACCAGTCCAGGCAACACTGCCTAACATTGTTAGACCCTCCCACCCACTTCACCCCCAGCAAAAAAAGGAATAAAAGGGGCTGAGGAATAGCGGTGGTAAAACATGGAAAAGTAAGACACACGGTACAGCACTGTGGGGGAACTGCCTCAGATGGAGCAAAGGAGCTTCATGAAGTCATGAGCCCATGTGAGTGACTGCCTCCTAAGACGGGAAAGACCCAGAACCAGACTGTCCTGTGCGCTGGGAGTTCCTGCAGTCGCTTTCTGATCAGAGTCCCTGGGCACAGTGACGGGGCATTACCACTTTGTTTCCTACCATGTGCTCTGCTCCTACCTAATGTGTACCTTATCTTCCAATGTCCTCAAAGGCTCCATGGGTCCCCAGTGCACACTGAGGGCCCAGGAGCAGAGGAACATAACGAGTACAGAAAACAGCCAATGGAAGGAGGTAAGTGCAGACCTCTTAAGTGGTGCTGTTTGGAGCAAATTGCTGTACATGAAATCTATGAAAAGCTTTGCAGTTACTGTTTTAAGAGGAGATGTGTGAGGCTGTTGATACAGTCCCTCTTCCCAGCATGTGCGTGGAGAGCTAGGTCACAGGGCACATGCTAATGCTCACTGAACAGAAGATCACACTCACTAGACGGTCCTGTTTTCCTGCACACAGGACGGCATGCTGAAAAGGTGCAGAGGGCTTCCTTCTACAGTGCAGAACTTCACTGTGAAGTTCTCCAAAGGGCAGGCTCCCTTGAAGACCATGAAAACAGAGGCAGACAGAAGGGCATAGGTGGTGACCCTGGCCTCTCAGCTCTGTGGTCTCCAAGCAAGCTGCTGGGCAGCTCTGTGTACCTCAACACTTCCTGCTCTGTGCAGGGCTCAAGGTGGCCATTCCAGTCAGACTTTCTTTAGAATATGCTGCCCTGAGCCAGAGGAATGTTCGCAGTGCTATAGGGAGCAGAGGCCTCAGTCTTGAGGCAGGGCAGGCTATACTGAAGGACTTGGGAAAGCCAGAAACACATCCTGTTTGTCAAGTGACTCTTTGCCATTCCATCTAAATTTTTTAATTAGGCAAGTGAGGGCTGGCAATGTAAAGGTCCGGGTGCACCATTCCTCTGCAGCATCTGAAGAGTCCAGTTTGCTCTCCTCTCCCCCCACCCCCATCTACCCTCTCCCCCCCCTCAGGCTAGGGGATGAAGATGAAAGAAGCTACAGGCCGGCAGCAGCCAGAGATCAGAGGCACTTCCTCTCCTAGGCCAGGCAAAAACATGGAAGAACAAGACATGGTTCCTCCCTCTCTCCCTCCCTCCCTCTCTCCCTCTTCCTCTCTCAGACAGACCCTCCCACCTTTTCTTTCCTTTTTTTTTTTTTTTTTTTTTTTTTTTGTAGAGGTCAGAAGTCAGCAGCACGTTGTCCTAGATTCCCCCCCCCCCCCCTTCCTCTCTCCGCAACACCCCCCCCCCTTTTTTTTTTTTTTTTTTTTTTTTTTTTTGTGCAGGACTGCTAGTATGTTAGGCAAGCTCTTGACAACTGAGCTACAGCCCCAGCCCAGGAGCTTCATTCTTTGGGGAGATGGCAGGTACTCATTGGAAAAACAAAGTGGAAGGAGAGGGGCACTGACTGACTAGGGACCAGAGGCGCAAGATAAACAAGTGAATGCCAGGAGTGAGCACACAGATCAGTCATAGAACAAACTGATCTAAGTTATCAGTGAGTGGTCATCCCTTAGTGTTCTGGGGCCTAGTTCCAAGACTCTTGAAAATACGAAAATGGGAGGATGCTCAAGTTCCTTACATAAAGTAAAGCAGTATCTGCATGCAACACTGTACACCCTCCTGCATGCTTGGCGTCTGGTCTAGACAGTACCAATACTAACCACAGTGGAAATGTTGTGTCACAGTCACTATAGTGTGTGTTTGGAGAATAATGACCAAGTCTGTTCACGTTCAGTACAGATGCAGTTTCCCCTCAAATATTTTCAAACTAGGGGTGGTTGAAAATGGTGTGAAACCTGAGGCCATGGAAGGCCAACTACAGCCCCTGACTGAAAACCTAAAAGGAATCTTGCTGTGTTGTTTACACTAGGAAGAGGACAACCCTTACTGTCCTTCCCCCACCTCTGCTTTAGCTGCCTCACGGTCTTCCAGGGAATTTGTTAGAAATAGCCCCTATTTCAATAAGGGCTGGGAGACTCAATCTCCCTGACTATTCAGCTGAGGATGAGAAGAAAATGAATGAACACGTTTCCTGAATCTCCTCCATCCCTATGTCCCTTTGGTCATTTCAAAATCAAAGAAAAACTGCTCTTCATTTCCTCGTTTTGATTCTGGATTTGATAAAGAGCTCACAGAACACTCACAGGAACCATCCAAACTCATCCCAGGAAAAGAAAAAAAAAATTCTGCATTAATTTTTCTTTTAAAATTTCTGAGGACTCAATTGTAACTCTTGACACAAAGCTGTCCCATAACAGTTGGAAAGGAGCAAATCCCAGTGCCTGAGACTCCACTGACTTACAAGTTTAAGTTCGTAGGACAGATTTACATACTCAGGACAGTCCAGGGGGATGAGGCAGACATTTTGCTAGAATCTGATTCTCATGGAAAGCTGTCATATTAGTCAATTCTTCCCTCTCAGTCACTTGAACTAGACTAAATTCTGAGAATCTGACGTATTCTGGTGACAAAGGCTTTTTTTTTCCAAATGACTAAGCGCACAAGCCCTAGGATTGCAGGGCTCCACGTGGCACTTGTTTTATGCCCTCCAGATGGTTCTTTTGTTCTGAAATGCCATTAAACCAATTACTGTATGCAGGCAACTGCCTGACCTTCTTGCAGAAGTGCAAATAAGGGAAAGGTTAGTCTCAACTCTGAGTGTATTGAATTTTCAGGAATTCACATGGTTTGGACAAGGAATATTCTAACACACCTCGATTATTCTGCCAATACTCTAACTATGGGGATATTGTACTTTTTTTTTGGTCTTTTTGAAACAGGGTCTCCCTATAGCCCCAGCTGGCCTGGAGCTCACTATGTAGACCAGGCTGGCCTTGAACTCAAAGAGATCTACCTGTCTCTGCCTCCCAAGTGCTGGGACTACAGGCGTGCACCACCATGTCTGGCTGGAAGGATTTTTTTTTTTTTGCATGTGTATAGAGCTCATGTGTATATGCTTGCATGTGTATGGATGCGTGTACATGAATACATGTGTATGTACAGGTGCCCATACATGGGAGTGTGGAAGTTCAATGATGCTGGGTGTCTGTCTCAATTGCTTTCTACTTCAATCAGTGAGGCAGGGTCTCCTGCTAACCCAGAGCTCACCGACTCTGGTTAGTCTAGCCAGCCAGCTTGCCCTGTTGTTGCCTCCTGTGTGATGGAGATAGAGGCTGAAGGGGTCCCAGCTACATAGAGCAGCAACTGGAAACGAAGCAGGAAAACCCCCAGGCTGGCAGGGAAGCTCAACCCACCAAGTGGCAATGCCTTTCTCATACTCGTCCTGTTCATTCAGTTACGCGAAGGACAGGGCAGAGGGGACACAGCAGCTGCCCCACTGAAAACGCTCTGTTTTGGCAGGCTTTTGCTCTCCCTCCCTAGGCTGACAGGCGCTCTAGATTGGTCTTTATTCTACATCTCATCTGTGTATACATATCCGGCCAATCAGAGTACACTTGAGCCTGTATAAACCTGTGTAGGAGCAGCCATCTTGCAATTCTGGCTCTCAGCAGGCCTAGGACTGGTCCTGCCTTTGAGACCTGCCAGAGACAGACCACCACGAGATGCACCACTCCTGCCTCGGCCTTTGAGACCTGCTGTTCCTGCTGCAGGCAGGGGACTTGGGTCTTGCTAGGTCAGGGAAGAGTCACTATTCCCTGCCCTCCAAGGTCATCGCTTATACCATTTTCTCCTGTGATCTGCCCTCCCTAGACTTGCTCTTCAGACGACTGTTCTCCACTGGCATTCTGAGGCCTGCTTGAGAGCGCAGAGCGGTAACACTCCTCGGCAACCTATAGTTTACATATTAGTTACTTTTTTGTTGCTATGATAAAACATCATGACCAAGGCAACTTATAGAAGGCAGCGTTTATTTGGCTTACAGTACCAGAGGGTAGAGTCCCTCTGATAATAGCAGAGGACGCATGACAAGAAGTACCCAGAACAGAAAGGCAAGAGCTCACATCTTCAAGCAGGCACAGGAACAGAAGGCGCAAACTGGAAATAGGACACGCCTACGAACGCTCAGAGCTTGCCCCCATGGAAATG